GATTATAGGCATGTGCCACCATGCCCAGCTAATTTTGTATTTTCAGTAGAGACAGGGTTTCTCCATTTTGGTCAGGCTGGTCTCCAACTCCTGACCTCAGGTGATCTGCCTGCCTTGGCCTCCCAAAGTGCTGGGATTACAGGTGTGAGCCACCGCACCCAGCCCAGCTTCTTTATTTCTATTGGATTCATATTCTCGTCTTTTGTGTGTGTGTGAGTGGGTGGTCGTTACTGTGACCTTTGCTATTCATATTCTCAAATTTGGAAATTGTCTTCTTACCTAATCTTCATCATGGATATTCTCAAACTAAGTAGGGTACGGGTTTTGCATCCTAAGTCTGAAAATCTGAAATTGGAAATGCTACAGAATCCAAAAAAAAGGTTTTTTTTAAAATTTATGACAGAGTCTGACTCTGTTGCCCAGGCTGGAGTGCAGCGGCATGATCTCGGCTCACTGCAACCTCCAACTCCCTGGTTCAAGTAATTCTCCTGCCTCAGCCTCCCTAGTAGGTGGGATTACAGGTGCACGCCACCACACCCAGCTAATTTTTATATTTTCAGTAGAGTCAGGGTTTCACCATGTCAGCCAGGATGGTCTCTATCTCCTGACCTTGTGATCTGCCTGCCTCGGCCTCCCAAAGTGCTAGTATTACAAGCATGAGCCACCATGCCCAGCCCAGAATCCAAAATCTTTTGAGCACCGACAAAATGATGCTCAAAGGAAATGGTCATTAGAGCATTTCAGGTTTGGGGCTTTTTGATTTGGGCTGCTCAGCTCACAAGTATAAGGCAAATACTGCAAAATCTGAAAAATCTAAAATCAGAGTGTCCCAAGTATTTGGGGGGAAGGGATACTCAACCTGTATTGTAGAAAATGGACTTTGAGACCAGGCACAGTGGCTCACGCCTGTAATCCCAGCACTTTGGGAGGCTGAGACAGGCAGATCATGAGGTCAGGAGATAGAGACCATCTTGGCGAACATGGTGAAACTCCATCTCTACTGAAAATACAAAAAAATTAGCTGGGCGTAGTGGTGCACGCCTGTAGTCCCAGCTATTTGGGTGGCTGAGGCAGGATAATTGCTTGAATCCAGGAGGCAAGAGATTGCAGTGAGCTGAGATCACGCCACTGCACTATAGCCTGGGAGACAGTGACATTCCATGTCAAAAAAAAGAAAAAGTAAAGGGATTTTGAAGTTTTTTTGTGCATTATTTGCACTGCATTGTGTGCCTAGGGTCTGTTTTCAAGTTCCTCTGTTTACTGAGTACGAGATCCAAACCAAAGAATTACAAAGTCCTGCTATAAGGGATTAATTTGCAGAGTCCTGCCTAAGCATTGATGGGTACCTACTCTTAAATTATCTGTTGCTTTTCTTCTGTTTTGTTAATGTCTGCTTTTAATTTTTCTCCCCGGCCCCATCCCCCTAGGACGTGGAGGATATAGAGGTCGTGGAGGCTTTCAGGGGAGAGGCGGAGACCCCAAAAGTGGAGATTGGGTTTGTCCTAATCCGTAAGTACCTTGCTTACTCCCTACTTGGTGAGAGTAGGGATTGGGGTTGAGGTTGGAGGTTACAGAAGGGGGTTCTGAGTCCATTGGAAACTCTAGGAGTATTGTATTTTCCTCCTTTCTTAGGTCATGTGGAAATATGAACTTTGCTCGAAGGAATTCTTGCAATCAGTGCAATGAGCCTAGACCAGAGGACTCTCGTCCCTCAGGAGGAGGTGGGTCAGCTCTTTAATAGCATCTGCATTGTGCTTATCTTCTGACTAGCATTAAGGGGGCTTTACGTTGTTCTGCTGGCCTCATTGTTTGCATTTCTACCTTGCAGATTTCCGGGGGAGAGGCTACGGTGGAGAGAGGGGCTACAGAGGTCGTGGGGGCAGAGGTGGAGACCGAGGCGGCTATGGTGGAGACAGAAGTGGGGGTGGCTATGGTGGAGACAGAAGCAGCGGTGGTGGCTACAGTGGAGATAGAAGTGGGGGGGGCTATGGTGGAGACAGAAGTGGGGGTGGCTATGGTGGGGACAGAGGCGGCGGCTATGGTGGGGACAGAGGAGGCAGCTATGGAGGAGACCGAGGAGGTGGCTATGGAGGAGATCGAGGTGGCTATGGAGGAGACAGAGGAGGAGGCTATAGCGGAGACCGAGGTGGCTATGGAGGAGATCGAGGAGGTTATGGAGGAGATCGAGGAGGTTATGGAGGAGATCGAGGGGGCTATGGAGGAGACAGAAGCCGGGGGGGCTATGGAGGAGACCGTGGTGGTGGCAGTGGCTACGGTGGAGACCGAAGTGGAGGCTATGGAGGAGACAGGAGTGGTGGCGGCTATGGAGGAGACCGAGGTGGGGGCTATGGAGGAGACAGAGGTGGCTATGGAGGCAAAATGGGAGGAAGGTGAGTATTAGAATGCATTTAGTAACCTTTTTACCTCATTGCACCTGTATTTGGGGGTTTGAACCACATTTTCTTTTTTTTTTTTATTTCTTTTTTCTTATTGAACATTTTAATTTTTTGGAACTTGAATTTCCCATTGGCAATTCTCTCACCATGGAGAAGATAATTTAGTTTCCTGCATAGCAATTTCTAAAATTTTGTTTTGGAACTTTTTATTGTTTAACTTTAGTTTTTATTGTTTTTTAGAGACAATAAAAATTAAATTTAGTGATAGAGACAGGGTCTTGCTCTGTCACTGAGGCTAGAGTGCAGTGATATGATCATAGCTCATTGTAACCTCAAACTCTTAGGCTCAAGCAGTGCTTCTGTCTCATTCTCCCAAGTAGCTGGGACTATAGGTGTGTGCCACCACATCTGGCCAATTTTTAAATTTTTTATAGATACAGGGTCACACTTTGTTGCCCAGGCTAGTCTCAGACTCCTGGCCTCAAGTGGTCCTCCTGTCTTGGCCTCCCAAAGTGTTGGGATTACAGGTGTGAGCCACGGCACCTGCTGGAAATTGTTATTAATAAATATTTGTATTTGTTTGGTTATATCTGTGTGTGTATTATTTTTTTCTCATAGCTAAAGATAATTGAGATTGAGAGATAATAACTTGAAACTATGTGTCAATCAGGAGTTCCTAATCTAAGTGAAGAAACACCTTTCATTGGGTGGTTCTTTTTTAAATCATATGTACTACCCTGCAGTTGTTTTTCTAGAGATTCTGATAATAGCTTTTCCAGATGAAAACCACTGATGGGAATGCCTTGTGCACATGAATGGTGTAGACACATAAGAAGTTGAAGATCAATGATAGAAAGTAACTTCAATTATTATTCTAAGGACCTGTATGCCAGAGGCAGTATAAGGCAGTGAGAATTAGTATTGAATATGGTTAAGAGCATGGATTTGGGAAATTGGGTTTAAATCCCAACTCCACTTACTAGTTGTGTGATCTTAGGAAAGTTACTTAATCCTTTGGAGTGTCAGTACTCTTATCTGTAAAATGGGGCTAATAAAACATCCTTTTTAGATTTGTATTAGATTGCATTGTACTAGTTGCTGGCCCATAGTAAGCACTATAAAATTTTTAGCTATTAGTAATTATTGGTAACCTAATTACCATCTGTTGAACACTACTTACTGTGTGCCCAATAGTGTAAAGTGTTCTATATTCTTTAGTTCTTGTCCTTCCATCATACCCATGAAGGTAGGTATACGTCCCATTTTACAGAGTCAGAGTCATTTAGTATAACTTTTCTAAGGTCACATAGTAAATGACAGATCCAGAATTCATACATGTAAGTGCTTGCTCATTCCACTATGCCACTCTTCTATTTACAATGTAAGAGAGTGAAGCAAAGCTTCTTCTAGGAACTTTGTAAATCTTAAAGCTGATAAATTATACATTTAAGTATCTTCTAGGAGTATAGAAATAAACTGGGCATGATGTCGTTCTTTAGAAATTGTCTAGCTGATACCAGTCACTAGAGCTCTGAAGAAGTGTCTGATGCTCCCCCTTAGTAGAAAATTAGAATTTAGTCTGGCTCTTTATTTTTCATTCCTAGAAACGACTACAGAAATGATCAGCGCAACCGACCATACTGATGACTGTTTTGAATGTTCCTTTGTCTCTGACATGATCCATAGTGAAATTGCCAGAGTTTTGCCTGCTGCTTTCCTCGTGGCCTCTTCTTGGGTAGTGAAATTCAGTGACATTTGGATTTTTATTTGGGTGGGAGGGCTGGGACAGTTTTTCTTTTAGAAATGTTTGTTGAGATTTCCCCCTTTAGTTTCCAACCTTCTCCCCAACCCTTGGAGCTAAATGCGTTGTAAAATATTGCCAAAATGAAAAGTGTTTTGTAATACTGCAATAAAGGCTGCTTGTTTTTGTGGACTTTTGTACATATTAGCACATTGTTCTGTCACACTCAGGACTTGGTTACATTAGACTCTAACCCTAAAGAATTAGGAAATGAATTATACTTCGGTAAATTAAAATGTTACTTTCAACAATATTTATTGAGCTCCTACTGTGTTTAGTGGTTCCCAAGAATGACTACAAGTTAGAATCACCTGAAGAGTTTGTTAAAATTAGATTACTAGGCTTCCCCCTAGGTCTGCTGGATCAGAACTTGGTGAGGTATGGGGAGTTAAGGCTCGCAATATTTGTTTACATCAAGCTTACCAGTTGATTTTGATACAGTTGTTTAGTATCAGTTTACAGTTGACAACCATTTATTTAGGGCAGTGTTGTAGATGCTGGGAATATGGAGCTCCCAACACAGAGAAAGGATTTACAAGCCAGGGTTAAGATGGCAATGTATATGTTTGTTTTTTGCTGTTTATTAGAGCACTATTTATTCTACTCTTAACTATGGGTAAGGCACTGGATCAGATTCTAGACACATTGCTGACCAAGTAAACAGCGTAGTCGATAAGTGCTCCAGTAAAAAGTACAAGGTGCTTAGAGGGCTGATTTGAAGGATACTAAATTTAATCACATAGGAGTAGGAAAAGGCAAATGTGGAGGGAAGACTAGGAGTTCATTAAGTACAGAAGCTGAGGTGAGAAAATAGTGTTCCCAGCAGGAAACAAATGAACAGATCAGAAGTTAAGAAAAAGAGTGGGGAGCAGGATCTGCACTTGAGAATTGTATGTAGTTCTTTGTGACTGAAGGAAAGAGTTCAAGGGTGGTCATGCAAAAGAAAAGACTGGAGAGGTAAACAAGCTCTATGACAAGGTCCTTGCATTTCACTTTTTACCTCGCTCCAAATAGTCATTAAAAGATGGTAAATGGGTATGGCATCTGATTTGAGTGGCATCAGATAGATGTTGATTATGATTGCCTTGTGGGATGGCTGGACTGGAGACAGCCAGGTGAGGGATTATATTGGTCTGAGGCCCAGATAGTGACTAGGGGAATGGAGATAACTAGATTTGAAAAATGAGGAGGGAAATTTGACAGGATTTAATTGGATGTCAGAAATAGAGAAGGAAGAGTCTGGTTTCTGGGCTGCATGATTGGGTAGATACGCTGTTCATTAGGAAAGGACACTGGGAAGGGAGCAGCTTTGGTGGCAAGATGGGAATTCTGTTTTGAATATGTTGAGTTTGGAGTACTCATGAAACTTCTAGGTAGAGACATCCTATAGTTCTGCAACTCAGAATGTAGCATTCAATACCCCGTTCCCCTGATTTCTCCCTTACTGAATTATAGTCTACCTTCTCCTCAGTTTGACCTCTACATGTGGGAAGTTTCTCAGGTCTTTTTCTAAGCCCCTTTCTCTTAATCACTTTTATCCTGGGCAAGTTAATTCAGGATATGTCTTTAAATGCCATCTAATATGGTGATGACTACCAAATTTATGTCTCCAGTCCTGATCTCTCCCCTCTCCCAGTTGCTTACTTGACCTTTGCACTTGGATGTAAAATAATTGTGTTTAAAAAAATGAGTACTGAATAGAACTTCAGTAGTATTGAGCTTCCCTTCCAAATGTTTCTTTCCTAGTGTTCCTAACCCCTCCAAAACAAATCTGTGAGTGAGGCCTGGGTGTATTTTAAAAGAGCCCCAGGTGATTCTAGTTTTTAGGGACAATTTATGGAAAGAGAAGAACCTAGGAGGAAACTGAGCAATAACTGACATTTAGCAGATGAGCAGAAGAGGATCCTAAAACCGACTGGGAATGCTCAGTGAGGCGTGGTCAGTGGAACCCAAAGGAAGAATGAAAGGAAAAGCTAATAGTATCAAGTATTTAAGCCAGGCCATGTCATGTAAAGGGTAGAAGGCATTCATTATATTGAGTAATATAGGCATTATACATCTCAACCTCGGTACTATTGATATTTTGGGTTGGATAATGCCCTGTGGGATGCTGCCCTGTGCATTGTAGGATGTTTAATAGCATCCCTGGTCTCTACCTACCAGATGCCAGTAGCAGCCCTTAACCTCTCTCCAAGTTGTGACAACCAAAAAATGGCTTCAGATGGCCACTGGGGGGCAAAATTGCTCCCTTTTGAGAACCACTGCCTTAGCAAAAGCAGTTTGGGTAGAGAATTGAATTCTGAACTCAAAACTGCAGTGAGATAATAGAAATGCACTAAGTGAATAATAAAAATTTGAGAAATGGATACAGGGGATGTGGACAAAGAATTTTGATTATGAAGGGTAGTTAGAGGAGGGGTGATGTGAGAGGAGGAGGCAGCTAGATAGGGATACTGGCTTGTGGACAGTTATTCTTAAGATGGGTAATAATTGAGCATGTTTATACACTACATGGAAGGAATTTGAATAATTGATGTTTAAGTCCCTTGAAGGTATGGCATCTAGAACATTGGTGAAGGATTTGCCTTAGAAGAAGAGAATGTCTCTTACATTGCAGTTGGAGGTAAGAATAAGTACAGATGCTGATAGTAGTAAAAAAAATGATGAACATTAATTGGGAGTTTACTGTGTGCCAATCACTGTTTCTCTTTTTTTTTTTTTTTTTTACAGCCCCAGCTATTGCATGCCAGTCACTGTTAAAACCAGTCTATATGTATTAACCCATTTAACAATCCTTTGAAGCTAGGAGGTATCAGAAATGCTTCACACTCTAAGAGGTATATGGTGTAAATGATTTTGAATGCCTTTGGGAAGGGGCTTTCTAGGGGGTACAGGAAGGAACAGAGGCACTGAGAGATTGAGCAACTTGCTCAAATCAAATCTCTAGGATTCGAACCTAGGCATCTGCCTTAGAGCCTGTGCTCTTATCTACTCTTGTACTATATTATAAACAGGGATGCTTATAGCTGAGATGGCATGAGGAAGTTGGGGTAATTCTATCTTAGGTCTTTTTGTTTTCCTAATGAGAAATTATAATAGTCTGCAGAATTTGGGGAAGTTTTAAGAGATTGTAGGATATGCGAGGATAGAAGAGAAGGCTTGACATATAACCCCTGTGGGGATCAGTGAAGTGTGTGCCTAAAAACCCATAAATCTGCCGGGCAACAGTAACTGCTCAGTTAAAATAGGAGGCAAGTATTTGGGGTTTCCAGTCTGTATGGATATGTGATTTTTCCACAGCTTTGATAGCAACATGGTTATAGGAGTAGAGGAAGTTTGATTCTGAGTAGGGGTTTTACTGATCAGAGGTGATAGTGGAGGTATGAGAATAGTGAGGGTAGTAATTAATGGATCCAGGTTGAGTAAGAAAACAAAAGAGAATAATGGGGAGATGGAAGGAAGTCAGGAGCTTAGTGTTGATGAGATTCAAAGAATTTGTGTGGATAATAAGAGCAGCACAGATTGAAGGTTGGGTCAGAAAGTGAGATGTGAAGATTTTGGAGACAGAGGAGCAATTCCTGTGGTTGACAAAGGTTAGGTATGACCTTGGAAGTGGGTAGCTAAAGTGAATGGAAGGGAAATGTCTTTGTAATTGAGATGAGGGACTGAGGGGCTGGAGTATTGAATGGTTGTCCAATGGGATGCCATCAGGGAGGTGACAAGACTAAGATTCAGGCAATGAATGTGAGAGGAAATGGAGAAATGGACCAGCAGGTAATTGCTCCTTGAGAGCAGGATCCTTAGAGAAACACTGATTTTTTTTTTTTCCTTTCTTCCTTTCCCCCTCCCCTCCCCTCCCCTCCCCTTCTCTTCCTCTTTCCTTCTCTTCTTTCCTTCGCTTCTAAGTGGTGGAAAATCGCCAAGTGTCTGGTGCCTC